AATTTTTGTACTTTTGAAAATTTTAGAGAGTACACGTGAAAAACTAGGTAACGATTATGAATATTTTAAATAATTTTAGTTAGTAATTCAAGGTAAGAAAGAAGGAATTATAGTAATTAGTAACAATAAGTCAGTAAGCAACAATTCTGTCACTTGAATTTTGGTGATAAAGTAAAGTAATAAAGGTATTAGAGGTACATATAGAAAATAATCAATGGAACAGTTATATATTTTAAAACATATATACACGAGTATATATAGAGTGGACTGAAATTGACATACATGGACTGAAAAAGAGCAAGAAAAACTTTTTTTATTTTTACCTTTTCGAAAAAATCTTATACATTATAAAAAAATTTGCTTGTTTTAAACTTGTAATAATCCAAACAGAAGTGGAATATCACTTTGCTTTAGTGAAATAATTACAAAAATGTAAAAAAACATTGTATTTTAAAAACAATAAATTTTAAAGTACTTAGGTTGAAGTGGAAATTCTGAAAATGAACTGGATTCTAAGTTAGAAAAAATGATTTAATTAAAGCAAAGAGATTCACCCTCTATTTGAATTATGATTATTTTTGAAATGAAAACTTTTGAAGACTATCATTTTTTCAAAAAGGTAAACAAATAATTTTTTCTCAATATTTTAAGTCCATCCGGGGAAACACTGTAAATGTGCCAGTCGGTACACGTATTTGTTTCTCGTCAGCTGTAAGACTCAGAAGTAGTGAGTACTCTAAAATTTAAAGTACTGGAAACATTTTGAGCACTCATCTGGAAGAAAATACTCACTAGTGCCAAAAACTAAATACTTTGAATACTTAAATACAATTTTGAGGTACAATTTACTCAAGTATTGCTCTGCTCTGCCGACATGCACTGTTTACTTTGAAAATATGTTGATCTAGACAGAGTAATTCTTACCTCTGTATGGTGAAGCAAACATATATTTTTTCTCCGATTGACATTGAATGTCACTCTTAGTGATAATTCTCGATCATAGAAGTAACATTTTTATTGCCTAGGAATTACAAATCATTTTTACTGCCTAAGAGATGTAGTTTTAAATCTACCTTCGACGTTTGAAGAAAGTCATTTAAAAATTTATACTTTCTTTTATTTAACTTCAATCGTTAATATACTTACTTTAAAAGCAATTTTGTCTTATAAAACATTAATGTCTCAAAAATTGAATACGCGCTTTAAATATGGTAGTGCCTATCAAATTTCTAAGTACTTCGAGTTATTTTATTCTAATGCCAAACCGACAACTCTAGTACAACAGCTTTAAAAACTTTAAATTGAAAAACATATATCATTATAACTCAAACGTGTTCAAGATGAAAAATAAAATATAGTCGTGTGTCAAAAAATAATACGAGCGTCCATTTCCTTCTGGAAAACAACTACTCCTTTGGCTGCATGTATTGAATTACATCTAAATAAAAATAACGGTAATAAAAAATCTAAGTTTGATTTTGCTTCGTCATTCTCGAACCGATTGCGTCCTAATTGGGACTCATTAGCAAGAAATAGACTTCGATTTAAATACCTAATGGAACCTCCACCACAAGCATATATTAAGGCTATAGAAACTATTTCAAACCTTTGTGCTTCTCAAAACCTCTTCCAATCAATAAAAATTGTTAACGAAAGGGGAGTTATTTTTGATCTTATTCTTTCCCAATTTGAACTAACCGTTTGCAAGGCTATCGATGTTCTGATCCCACCCGATGCTCACTACCCGCCGCTTGAAACCAATCTTCAATATTATTAAAACTGACGGAGTTAGGGTGGTTAGAAATTAAGAGGAGATATATATATATATGACTTGGAAAAATCATAGCGATTTTGTAGTTTCTTTTTATTATTTACTTAGAAAATTATAAATTTCTTTTAAGAAATTTTTTTTATTTTTTTGAGTTTTAAATAAACAAAAATAATTAAAACTAAAAAAATAAATAAAAATAAACCAAATTTAAATAAATAAAAGTAATAACAAACAGTTAAAAAAATTAAATTAAAATAGGTAAATTATTAAAACTAAAAAGTAATAAAAAATAAATAAAATTAAACAAAAATAAAAGAAGAGATAAGTGTAAAAGAAAATAAATGAAAATAAATATTAATAAAAAAATTTAAAAAAATTCATTTTTATTTATTTATATAATAAAAATATTCATTTTTATTTATTTATGTTTAATTTCGATTTTTAATAAATTATCTATTTTTATTTAATTTTTTTAACTATTTGTATTTATTTTTTTTTTAATTATTATTATTATTTTATTTTTATTCATTTTTATGTTTTAATATATCGCACCCTTTTTTCAATAGTGCCGTATCCTACACTGTCAGTTTTAATAATAGCAAAAAATGTCAAATATCATTTTTATGTAAAACTTTATGCTTTACAATTTTTATTAAGAACTTTTTTTTATAGCACCTACCGTATTTACATAACCTTAAAAAATCACTTTATTTTCTTGTTTTTTGACATTTGCCCGTTCCTGAAAAACAAAATTTTTTTACATATCGTTTTAAATACTCTAAAGTGACTTATATCAAAAATTCCTGTATTTCCTCCAAAATTTTGATTCAAAGGTCTATTTAATTGGACTATTTCGTTTTAATTTGTTATAGTACAATTGTTCAGTTTTTTATGAACACTCTATACATATTAAACTGTATATATCAGATTTAAGGTATTTATAGAAATTTTAAAACTTGTAAATAACAGTAGAAACCTATAATCCTACAATTTTTATTTTTTTGCATGCATGTTGTTTAATTTAGGTTTAGAGCCAGTTAAGAATACATTTGTAAGTCGAAGGAAAAGTTGAAAACATTTTATGAAATACTCTAGTATTTTAATATTAATGTAATGTGAGCCATTTCCGACGAATCTGGTCATGCTCTTATTCTTTGGATTTCTTTGCCTTGTTTGGGTCTTGTTACGACCCCACTTGTCCTTAAAACCAGGAATATTTGATGAAGGGTATAAATCATTCATTTGGGAATGTAATAGTAGTAAATTCGAGAAATTTCCAGAGACGGCTGTCTAATAAATGGCGAAAACGCGAATAATCTAGCGCATACACCAATTTATATATAAATGGGCTGTGTTGCATAGGAAGTCGTTCAGTTAAAGTCGAGTCATAACATCTATAAAGTAAATATAATATAAATAAGTGAATTGTTAAATAAATTAGAGCTGTGAATTATAATAGCGCTTAAATAACATAAATAAATTAATTAGTAGTTAGTGTAAATAAATTATAAATAATTAAACAATCGTTCCATTAATAAATAATAGCGCAACGTTTTTACCTGCCTCTCCAAATTTAGCGCGGGAAGAAATTCATGCTAGGGATAAATTAATTCGGGAAGGATTTCGTGATTGGTTTTGACTGCAGAAAGGAATTCAAGCACATTGATAAAATTTAACATTTAATAAATACGAAAACATTCATTTTACCCTTTGTGAAATATTTTTTTAAACATTTATGCACGTCTATGTATTTCAAGATTTCGAGGCTTAGTATTCCGAGAATTTATTCTAACGTTATTTTTGAAATATACTATAATTTTTATTATCAGCAATAAAATTAATAAAGACAGATGATGTAGAATTATAATACTCATAAATAAGTTTGGCTAATTGAATAAAAAAACTATCGTTTATATTTTGTCTACAAATATTAGAGCAATTTAATTTCGTACTTTTGAAATAAGTTGCAACATTGGCTGTCGAGTTTCTAGGGACAATTTAAAATAGGTACAAATTGATGGTATAGCCTTTATCCATCTACAATACTTTGAAACTATATAGTTTAAAATATTAACCAGGCCCTACAAATTTTATAAAACTAAAGTGAAGAAGCATTATTAACCTTTGTTCGCCATAAAATGGTACAGATAATCTTTTTTGGTTTTAGAGGATTTCAATTATTTTCGTTAAATGAAAAACGATGATTGTCACGCTTCGTATAAATTCATATTTTTTTCCTAATTTTAATGAATTATTTAAATAACATCCTGTACATAAAATTTTGTTTAATTATGTCGATAATTTGTTTTAAATTGCAATCATGTGCAAGGTTGATTATTTAATAATTATTAAACATTAGTTTCATAACAATAAACTATGGAGAAGTTAAAAAGGTAATGTCGAGGGGACGCGCAGGGCTTTTTCTTCACAGGGAAGGATCCTCCCCATAGGACATCCCCCTTGTAGGAAATTCCTAGTAGTAGTTCTAGCTCAGGATCTCTATAGTTTAAATTAAAAGTTTTTTGTATTTTGAATAATTGCGTTTTGTATAGTTTAGCTAAAGGTTGTGACATGTGTCCAAGATATTTGTTAGAGTGGTAAGTTAATCATTTATTGTTCTTATTGAGCCCTATATTTGTATATGTCGAGTTAGGACATATTTTGTATAATCGTTTGAAATTATATTATATTTGTTTTAAGAACACTGTGCTTTCTTCAGCCCCTTTTCAGGGACGTGTTAGGTTCTAACATCAAGAACAGTTAAGGGCTACGAAGCCAAGTTTAAGGCTAAATAGTGTTTACATGATTGAGGCCCGGATTCATTTATTTTGTTATTCAACCCCCGAGACATAGATGGTCCCAAAATTATTAAAGTGCTCGTAAATCGCGACATTTTTTATTAAAAATACGCTTAACGTGACAATATTAACAAATACTAACTTTTTCTACGCGCATTTCGGCATACAAAATTGTAAAAGATGATTTAGAAGTCTTTGTTTCTATATAAAAATAGTGGACACACTCTGTATCATCATAAGTACGAAAAATTACCCACACTTACGGGCAGAAAAAATTCGAAAAAAAAAAATCATTTTACTGCTGTAACCTACTGCGTTTATCGCTCCTCAGTAAACTACTTGTTAATCCGTATAACCTGTAATGTTATATAAATCTAAAAATAAATCATTCGGCCCAGAGTGCATCGCAGATCGCAGGATTTCAGACCCAGTCATAAGTTAAAGATGCTGCTGGGAACATCATCAACGTACTTGGAAGGTCGCGAAGTGAACGAACCGCGGACCCCGCTTGAATCGCGGCTGCGTCCTTGACCAACGGACGATAAACTTACGGAATCGTCTTCTTTTTTCGCTTTGAGTTTCATTAAAAACGGTAACATTTTATGTTCTAAATTTTGTTTTTTTTTTCTTGTTTCGTTTGACAGGCTTAACTTAAATTTAGGTCATTAATATTAATAGTAAAATTATCTACTTATGTTTCTAATTCAGTATGAAATTATGATGCGCAAGCTATTGTTGTATTAGAAGCAGAAAGTGATGTTTTGCCGCTTGAGACAAAAAGTTGCCCGCGCGATGTGTAGCGGAGAACGAATTTAAAATACGCACTCTTGATTACATACCTCTCTGTGAATGAACAGTCATATTGCTGAATTTCCCATAAAATTAAATTTTCGGTGATGTGTCATACTTGGTACTTTCCCTATTTAAATTGGCTTGGTTAGATTAACGGATAAGAGAGGAATGACATATGACAGTTGAAGATACTATAGTAAGATGTCCCCCTTGAAATAAAAATCAATTTGTTTGATTTAAAAAAATTCTGCTTTAAAATATTCTGAGATACGGCCAGCTGCTACCTTAATGAATCACCCTGTATATGAAAGCACAAGAAATCGTTCAAAAATAACAGAAAATTTAATTTTGTTGCATTTTAACGTACCTATCAAAACTTGATCTTGAATATTTAAAATAATGTTTTTAATTCTAATTAAAAATATAATTTAAATTGCGATTTAATTTCTTTAAAAAATTCTTAACAATTGGAATATTTAAATATTTTTATATTTGCCGATACCGATATAGGCCGGTCGATATAGAGTTGGCCATTCCATTGGACTAACAACATAGGTTGTGACAAATCTAAATAAATAAATTCAAGGAAACGTGAGATTAAACAAAAAGCTGCAAAGCGTTGAAAGCCGTGCATCGTGTAACGTCGCTTCAGTTCGGCAGATTTCGGCACTGTGTTTGTGTGCGTACGACTAGACCTATGCGTGTAGACTAGCTGCTAACTGCTCATAACTGATTCTATCCACAAGAATCCACAACAAAATATGGGACCACCATTGACGCGGTATTTTCCAGATATTTAGAGGATATCGAGTCTCAAACTTATGTTTCTTATTTCAGTTACCATAAACCTATAGTTTCGATGATAAAAATTCCTGAATAACCTATATGTATTGTAAGATAATAAAAATATTTTAACTGCACAGAACACGAGGCTAATGGCCGTAGTAGTCGACGCCGATGACACCAAATTAAAAAAAAAAAAAAAAAAATATTAACTTCTCATTTATTCAATAAAAGAAAAAAATTTGTTTTCTTATCAGTCACCATGCTCAAAAAGAGTGTAACTTGAATTAATATCAAAGAAAAAACTTGAATTAATATCAAAGAAAAAAAATACTGCATAAATAAAATAAATAAATAATTATAATTGCATAAGTTGATAAAAAATGCTATGCAATAGCTTTACCGCGGCAGTCCCCGAGTGCCACACGTATTTTTCGATTTTATTTTATTGAATAAAATAAAAAATATTTTCTTCTTGTTTCACTCCATCCTACTGTACAGTACAGTCCATACCTCAACGTGAAGTGCTCATCTGACTCACATCTGGCCTCTCCTCTTTTACCATCATTTGTCTAATGTGAAGCGAAGAGTGAAATTAACTGATTAAATCTTTCCTTTAGATCGAAACTGTCCGTTTTGGTCTGCAGGCCATATCGAAGCTGTAGGGCCTCCATTAATCTGTAGGCTGGCTGACGAGAGGCCTCATCGATTCAGGAAGATGCACGATGGACCTAGTGAGGCCTAAGTGCAGTCGCGGGGGTAACCCAACCATTCCACGTTACAGTTAGGGTCCGATTACAATTAGAAGAACACAGCTACGTCATCATTTGGCAAAGTAATTAATTGGTGTGTGTGTGTGTGTGTGTGTGTGTGAGAGAGAGAGAGAGAGAGAGAGAGAGAGAGAGAGAGAGAGAGAGAGAGAGAGAGAGAGAGAGAGAAAATATATGTTTATTGTCCAAGTTAAAATACTTATTGACAAACACAATATTGTACAAATTACAAATAAATAAATAGTCATACAAACACAATATTGTACAAATAGTATACAAATTACAAATAAATAAATAGTTATTAAAATATAAACAAACATTATTATAAATTAACATTAATACATACATCTAAAATAAAATAAAACAAAATAAAACACATATCACAGTGTCTCGTCATTATAAAATTCTATAATATTATAATAAGGCCTAGTTAACAGAAATCTCTTGAGCAGCTTTCTAAAACAATTCTGTGACTCAACATCTGTCAACGTATGTGATAGCCTATTGTACATTTTGATACCATTGTATATAAAAGAGTCTCTTATTAGTTCAGTTTTGGGAATAGGCAACTTCAAGTTACCCGTTTGGCGAGTTACACGGGATGTATTCGATTTATATTTCGACTTGTTCTTATGGATCATGCAACAAGTTTCTAAGATAAATAAAGATGTTAATGTTAATATTTCTTGTTTTAAGAACAGCGGTCTGCATGAAACTAATCTGTGTGCTCCACATAAGAACCTTATTGCCCGTTTCTGCATTATAAAGACTCTGTCAAATAACTCGGCAGAACAGACTCCCCAAAACTGAACAGCATAACGTAGATGGGAGTCAACTAACGCATAATATGCAGTTTTTGCTGCACAAACTCCCAATTCATGAGAGGTGGTTCTAATGGCATAACAACCCGATGCGAGTTTTTTTAAAAGTGAATCCACATGAGATTTGAATTTCAAATCCATGTCGATATTTAAACCCAAAAATTTTGTACAGTTTGTGGCTTCTACAGTATCCATATCTATTAAAATATCAGGAACATTACATTTAAAGGTTAGTATTTTTGTTTTTTTAAAATTTAATGACAGAAAATTTGCAGTGCACCATGTTTTAAAGGATTTTAGGTCATTACTAATATTTGCATAAAGAATATTGACGTCTTTATTGTGCCACAAGATAGTAGTATCGTCAGCAAATAGAGTGAAACTTCCTGAGATATTTAACTTACCTAAATCATTGATATAAATTAAAAACAGGGTGGGCCCAAGAACAGAACCTTGAGGGACACCCCATTTTATGTCACTTGTGTTCGAGTCTGAAACAGTTCGGACTAACTGTTTGCGACCTAAAAGGTAGGATTTCATCCAACTCAAGGCCACATCTCTTATGCCATAAATTTCAAGCTTTTGCAGCAGTACTCCATGGTTGACACAGTCAAAAGCTTTAGTCAGATCACAAAATACTGCAGCTACGGCCTCGTTGAAATTTAAACTTGTATAAGCTAATTCCAAACAAGAAGAAACAGCGTCCGATACGTTTTTGTTGTGTTGAAAACCGAATTGATTTATGTCCAATATATTATTTTGGTCTAGATATCTAACTAGTCGAGTTTTTACAAGTTTCTCAATAATTTTTCCGAGTGTCGGAATTAGAGATATGGGCCTAAAATTAGATGGCTCAGTCAAGTCTCCTCCCTTATATAATGGAACCACAACACTTGTTTTAAGAAAAGGAGGAAAAGTACCTTCAATAAAACTTTTATTTATTAAAATGGATAAAACGTCTAATGCAGAGGTAGGTGAGTTTTGAAATATTTTTACTGACATTCCATCATGTCCTGATGCAGTTTTGTTGTGTATGTCATTACAAACTTTTAATATTTCTGAGGAATTTGTTTCTCTTAAGAAAAATGAATATTTAATTGGTGACGATTTTACAAATTCTAATGGGTCAGTTGTTCTATTTAGATTTTTTGTTAGATTTTCAGCGATATTGCATTAAAAAGTATTGAAATCGTTAGGATTTATATTTGCATTGCATGATTTATGGGTACTTTTGCCTCTCAATTCATTAATAATAGACCAAGTTTCCCTTGCCTTATTTTTTGAGCTCTCGATTCTTGTATGATAGTACATATCTTTAGCTTTTCTAATAAGTGTTCGATATAAAGATCTGTAGCGATAATAATAGTTTAAAAATAAATTATTTTGCGTAAATTTTTTTATATAGTTGAGAGATCTCATATTTTTTGATGAACATCTTAAACCAGCTGTAATCCAAGGCTTTTTTGGCTTAATTTTTATTTTTTGAATAGGGAAAGGCGCATTAAAAAATTTGCTTAAATTTAAATAAAAATCGTTAAAAGGAGATATACCAGTAAAGCAACTGTACCAATTAAAATTTTTACATACTAAATGAAATTTTCCATAATTAGATTTACTAAACAATCGACCATGACGAGAATTAGTCTTAGGAAGCTTATGCTCAAGAGATATCGAAGCTAAAACGGCTTCATGATCAGACAGGCCGCTGGGATTCACTGTACACGATATATTAGCAGGTTCGTAAGACGTACAGAAATAGTCAAGTAACGTTTCGGTACAATCCGTTATCCTTGTTGCTTCCTTAACATGCATACTTAAGTTAAAGGAAATTAATAAATTTTTTAATCTAATAGTAATATTATCATCATCCTTGAGATAATCTATATTTAAGTCACCTGTCAAAACTATTTTAGATGTTGTAGAAAATCTACTTAGCAAAGATTCCAAATTGTTTAAAAAAACTGAAACATTTGAATTTGGTGATCTATAGATACAAACAACCTAAATATTAAATTTAAGAATAGAAATAATGGAAAACTCAAATTGTTTTTCTATCTTCTACAATTCGTTCACATGCCTTGTTACAATAAATTTTATTTTCAGATAAAGGTATGATTTTGTTTAGTTTTAATGCAACTTGGATGAAAAATGGCGAAACAACAAATACACCAATAATAATGAGCATCTTTTTTGCAGCATTTAAATTTACCTTCCATAGCTTGTAATTGAATACTTATAGATGAATTCAACAAATCCAAATAAGTAAATTTAAAAGTTTCCTCCGCCACTGGGTCTCATTTATACATATAAATAGGTAAATTCATATCTACACAGATAAATTGTGTTTTTATATTCTACTAATGAGATTTCGATAAGAATTATATTTACAAATTAGGTTATTATGCGGAATTTCTCCAAAATTAAATGTTACTCACAATTTGAATTCATCGTTAGATGCAGAATCGTTAACACTACAATC